ATAACGTAGGTGGGATTCAACAAGGGCGTAATACACCGTTCTGGCAGTTTTGATTCCCAAATTTATTGAAGTTACTCTCACTGCATAACATCCAGAACAAATTTTACTTTCAAGTTGTTTGATATGTTCAATAAATTTGAGCTTATTGTCAATGTGAATACCTAGAAATTCAGATTGAGTCTCGTTCTTGATCACTAAGTTATCACCAAATGACAGGTCATCAAGAGCACATCTGAATGATAAAATGTTTGTTTTAGTGATATTGAAGGATAGCAAATTAGCATCACACCACTCCTTGATTTCTTTCATATCAGTAGATATTGCATTGTGTAAATCATTTGAGTTTTTGTTGTTCCACAACATCGTCGTGTCATCAGTGAAAAGAGTGAAATTTCCAGAAATGCTCAAATTTGCAATGTCATTGACATATAATAAGATGGATTCTAAAACTGATCCTTGTGGAACACCATACAAAATTTCCTTTTTTTTTCTGAAAGTCCTGTTCTTATCATTTGATTCCTTCTTGAAAGGTAAGATTCAAACCATTTGAGCATCATTTCTCTGCAGCCGTATTGGTGAATTTTTCTTAGCAAGATCTTATGATCAACGCAATCAAACGCCTTAGAAAGATCACAAAAGACCACAGCTGCTACATTACCAGAATCAAACTTTGAATGAATATCATAAAGAAATGAAAAGATGGAATCGTGCATATTTTTATTGCTTTGAAAACCAAACTGGCTTTCACTTAAGATGATTTAACATATAGGTAGCACTTCTAGTTAATTATTTATTAATTACTTTTTGATCCTTAGTGTGAAGGAAACTCCACCTCTGACACCACCAGTAATGTAGCATCTGCAATGGAAGCACTCACTACCAACCCACCACCTATTACAATGGATGTCGATAGTGAAACTGGCTCCATTATTAATAAGCAAGACAACCGTAATCTCAAATACATTAAGCCTCTGCTAGGGGCCTCATCCAGACTTGGTAGAGCACTAGCAGAACTTTTTGGTTTGCTTGTCAAGCTGTGCGTTGGTTCTCCAATACGCCAAAGACGCGGACAAAACATCGTGGCCGCCCCACCTATGCCGTCTCCATACGCGAGAAATGTGGCTACTGCCTTAAACGTACTGCTGGCAGAGGGATTGGATTGCGAGAAGTTGCCGCCATGTCCCACTGCTAAGTGTCGGCTCACTTTTTTGATATGCAGTGTCGGATTCACCAGCCCGATGCTTTTCGACGAAAGACGCTACCCGTACCATCTCATGTTGAAGAAGTTTGTCAGTCTTGGAGGACAAGATATATTTTTCAAAACGTTCAAATGGGCCATCAATGCTGGAAACCTGAACGCCGAAGAGGAAGTTGAATATTCGTCTCTACCAGAGGGTAAGTTTTTTTTAATAATAATAATTTCAGTATATTAATAATAATGGTAGACCACTGAAGGAATAACAACTGGCACAGGTAGATGCAGCGTATCATAATGTTCTCACAGGTAATGCAGACACCCAGCAAATTTATTTTACCACATCTAACTCCACTCGGTTATTTTCTCAACCGAAAAGAAGTTCTCTCTGGTTTGGGAAACTTGAGTGATAAACAAACAAAATGAAAGCTGGGATGAGGTCTGTAAGACTACACATGTTTTGTAAACAATTTGTGTTGGACTACAGGGCGGCTAATAGACCTTTATGTCTGATATGAGGCAAACAGAAAGAGATATTTTTTATTATATTACAAAATTTACAAATGCAGTCATTGTACATACAAAGAATGAAGACAAAATAATTTAATGAAAAATGAGAAAACTTTCTACGAATACTATTTTGTATTAGTTTGAAAATGTCCTTATAGGACGAAACTGCAGTAACGTTAGGTACAAATAAGAGTGGTAAAAAAGTAGAAAGTTTTATTTCTCATTTTTTCATGATGCTCTCCTACCAATGATTTCTGAGTTTTCAGACAAGCAGAAAAATCTATTTCAGTCCGGCAGTTTCTAAAAATGAACAGGCAGAGAATGAAAATAAGTTATACATGTTATATTAGAAAAAAAACACATAACATACATTATAAATTCAGATTTGTGATGATGAAGAAAAGAACAATATTTTTTTTTACAAATATTGCAGTGATATTTCTTTTGCAAACTGTTGTTTTGGGCTTCTTTCCTACTAAGTTCTTCTTTCATCTTGCCATAAGATAAAACACATTGATTTTTCTTAGCTACAATGAGCTTATTATGCTTCTTGAATTCAGTAATTGAAATTTTGTTCTGCGTTACTTCTTTATGAGTAAGGTACAGATTCAAACAATAACTTAGTGGCCAGTTTCCTATACCACTTATTTTCTGTTATTATAAGTGGTTTTTTATGTGCTGAGCATTATCACTTTCCTCTTGTCTAGCCATTTCATCATGATGACTCCAGTATTCGTTTGTCTAGCAAAAACTTCATTCTTTTTCAACTTTTTTTGGTGACATCCAAGCAGTTCAATTTTCGATTCGATCTGACTGTACCGACGAGATGTGTTTTTGGACTGAGCATATTCACTTCCAAATATTGGGTTTTAATTTTTAAAGGGATTTGTTTCTAATTCACATATTGGCAACAGCGCCTATATCAAGTTGAAATAATTTATACATACCTAGATATTCTACTTCAAAAAAGGAAAATTATCTTTATAAATCAAAAATAAGGCAAAATATAAATTATAGTTTGATACCACCTCCATAAGCCACATAAACAACAGTTGTTTTGTTATTTATTTATATAGAGGAAGATAGGTTAGGTGCACAAAATGTCATATGTCACAGAATGTCTCGGAACTCGGAACATAAGTAAACAGAACAGCACGCCTTTGAAATATGTCATCTTTGTTTGTCTCATACAGGTAACAGATTCATTGTCCTTTATTAGCTATAACCGATGTTGCCAAATGGTGAAATAGAAACGAATCCCTTTAAATGTTGAATGCATTATTTCATTCCTCTTTTTTGAGTATTTAAATAATTTTTTAAAGAAAAAAGTTGAAATAAGTTTAAAATGCGTTGTTTTAGAGCTCTTTTATGAAAACTACTTGATTTTCGTCAGGAGGAACATTCCCCATTGTGATAATATCTGTAAAAATTGTTTATCCACTGACGAATAAATTGCCTATTAGCGAAATCACTACAATAGAAGAGTTTTTGCACCCTACTGGGTATCTTTTCTGCAATAGATTTTTATATTATATGTGTAAACATTATCAAGACAAAGTTAATATAATTTTATACCGAATTTGTATCTTTTATTATTTATATATTGTTTGAATTTCAAACGACCTCGAAATGTACCATATCATAGTCTCGTACCATACCAAATATACCATAGTCTTGTCTATGCAGATGTTTTTTTCAGGTGTTATGATTTATTGAAATCTTGTAATCACCTTCTCTGCTAAATGTGATTATCTTATGAAGTCTAACTATTCCTTGATCACCACTGTTTGGACAGGTCACTGTCATTTGAGTCTTCATATGCAGAGAGTTGGACTTTCGGAAGACAGTGTGTGTTTGGAAAATGATGAAACAACAGAGCATATACTTTGTGCCTGCCCCACTGGGGACCGAATCAGGTTCTTAGAGTTCGGCAGAGCCGTACTATTACCACCTGACCTGAAAGACCACTCACCACACAAACTAATCGGCTTCTTTAAGAAGCTGGGTTTATTTGGCCGAGTATGAATAGGTGTGAGCCACAATAAACCCTTGCGGCTTGTGGTGGAGGGTCGAATAAACCCACTCACTTTAGACCTAACCTAACCACTGTTTGGAGTTTCATTATCATTGAAATGCGACATGGACAAAACGATTTCTGCTCATCATTTTCATGATCTTAGTTTCACATAAGAAATTCGTACTTTACTAATCTCTCAATTGTGTTCTCAGTAATTCCATCCAAATTGTGTTACTGAAAAATCTTTCCATTAATTCAATATCAGTTGATGTTCAATATTTTGATGTTTTTTTTTTAGAGTTATGCGTACGTTTTTGAGATGCGTAAATATTCCAATTGAAAGGGGTATATTTTCAGGAGAGATTAATTATTTGGGAATGAAAGGTTTTTTCCTCTCTACTTCTTTCTCCATCTTTATTGATGACATGTTAAATTGGGAAGCACACGTTGCTGGTCTGTGCAAAAAACTTTCTACACAACTGTTTCTACTAAGACAGCTAAAAATGTGTCTTAGTCAAAGTATGGTATTACAGACATACTTTTCTCTTTATAACAGCCTCCTGACATATGGCATACTTTATGGGGTCAGTTTCGCATGCAATTAAAGCCTTTCGTATGCAAAAGCAATCCGGATCATAGCTAATGTTTCTTACAGAGAACACTGTCGTCCTCTATTTCAAAAACTCAAAATGTGGGAAGATTCCCATATTTTTTTCATAAAGATGGAGAAGTAGAAAACGTAAATTTTCATTTGATCAACTACATTTTTCATAATTTCATCTGTAACAAATGTTTGGTGGAAATCATACAGTTATTTCATGTAGAGATAATAAAATTGTCTTTTTATGCCAATACCTGCACATCGAATTTGTTTAGTTTAGTGTCATTGACTGGATTCCATTTCAAATTAGTCACGTCCCTGTGACCGTATCTTACCGTATCTTGCAAATCCCGACTGCCATTTTCTTCATCATGGAAAAACGTTTTTTTCTTCTTGTGAGAACACAAAAAACAGACGTTCTTAATCGTAAAATTTATTCAAGAAGTTGTTTTGCATTAAACTTTAGTTTTCATTAAAAACAAATAATTGTATGTTCAAATGGTCCGAAAAAAACATTCTCATGCTTGTGCTAAGCATGTTAATTTATCATCTCTTACCCTCACCACATATTCTCCTAAAAATCCATAATATTGTGCTGATCTTACATTTGAAAAAGTACAGTGCCCTTCAGTATGTAACATTTTTTTAGGTTCGCTAGGATTTTTGGATGCTTGGCTGACGTTGCTCGAGAAGATGGTGAATCCCAAAGCAATCTTGGAATCTCCACACGTGATTTCCAGTCGCCCATCTCAAAACTACAGCTTCGATCCACTGAAATATCTGATACAGATTCAAAAACTTGCCTTCGGAAGCGTTATGTTACTTTGGGGTAAAACTCCATTAGCCTCTTATGGTTTAAGAACTACTGAAACTTTGTTGACTATTCTTCGACATATATTCAGAGGAGAAAAAATAATAAAAGAGAAACAGAAACAGAAAGCTGATGAGACTAAAATCACTGCAGACTCTCCAAGTAGTGCCGCAGGTTCTGGTCCTTCCAATGCCGGACCTTCATTCCGAGACTTAGATGACAATTTACGTCAATTGATGGACATGGGATTCTCCAGGGAGCACGCTATTGAAGCTCTCTTGCATTCTCACACCTTGGAGCAAGCAACTGACTATTTACTTTCAAATCCCCCACAAGTAGCTCGTTCGTCAACCAACTCGATGGATGTCGAATCAGAAGATGACCAAGTTTTACAGGCTATAGCTATATCTTTGGGTTGTAACAATGACCCTACTGTTGATGCGAAGGAAACTGTGGAAGAATCTGACCAGTCTTTTGAAACTCTTATCAATGAGTTTACAAATCATGCTTTGGAAGTCTGTTTGAAGTTGCTAGAGGCCATACCTGAAACTGTCCACAAGGTCTGTGAGTTACTCGTAACCATAATGAATAGAAATGGCAGAACCTACAGAGACAATTTGCTTGACACACTTGTTACAAGAATTCGAGGAGGCATAAAAGCTATTTCATTATGCGCAATGCAATGTGAACCAAACGTTATCAGCTATTTCAGTGTGTGTGACTCGGATCAAGCAAAACGGCTTTCAAATTATATCCATTTATACATTTTGTTCTTTGAGGTGTCGCCTGACATGAGAATACCGAGTGGAAACGCTATCAACAGGGGTTGTCTAATCGAACCTTTATTGGATTTGATGTGCTACACTATTAATATGATGACTGAACTGAAAGTAACATTTGAACCAAAGTGGCTTGCACCCTCTTTCTTATTACTAGATGCAATGTCCAAAATTGAGACCTGTACCACCAGAAAATTAAATATGCTTCAGAACACATGCCGCTTATGGAGATGGTATGATTTGGTTACGGGAAAATGGGCTCACTATTCGAGTACGAACAACAAGTTGATTAATGATGCTTATATGAAGGGAGAACCTAACGTTCGTGTCACCTGCGGAAGGAAAAGATACACTGTAACATTTTCCAATATGTTACAAATGAACGACGAAACTGGAAATAACAGACCGATTTCAATGACATTAACTACATTTGGTCATCCCAGTTGTAATCATTTTCACGGTCCCAAAATTGAAGAACCGATCTATGCCCATATGACTGAAGAAGAAAAAAAGATGTGCGCCCCAGAACCGGGACTCTCGTATGAGCAGAAAATAGAAGTTGTTAAACTCTGTGTTAAACTTTTACATCTCCCTCTCGACAAGAACCTTCTCCACTCTACTTTGCAAATTTGTGTTCGATACACTAGAGATTTCAAAATGGCCAAGATCTTTGTCGAAAATGGCGGCGTCAAGTGTCTCTTGAAGATGCGGCAAATCAGCGACTTTGGAGGTTTCGGGATATTAGCCACGATTTTGATAAGACATGCACTGGAAGAACCTAATACATTGAAGTATGCAATGGAGAAAGTAGTAAGGGGAAGAACTTTGGCTACAATTCCTCCTCCCTACAAAGATTTGATTTATTTGACCCGTCAAATAGGCAGCGCCATTACTCGAGAACCAGACTCATTTTTTGAAGTTGCGAATGGTATTCTACGAATTGACTTTAATGCCATCAAGTTCGAAGCTGCTGATGTCTCGACACCATTGAAAGTAGAGGCCCCGGTAAGAACTAAAGCTCCGCCTTTGGAAGATCCTGTTTCGATTGAGGTCATCTGTGATTTATTGGATGCTCTCTTGAAACCCCTCGAAGATGAAATTGTTGAAAGTGAGGACTCTGATGAATCCAAATCTACAGAACCGGTGGCACCATCTCCAGTGGTAGCCGAGGAGCTCCCTTCAACTAGCACGCAGTCTGCCGAAGCCAGCGAAAGCTCCGACGACAACTCCAGTAAAAAAAATGAAATATCTGCGAAAAAACCCATGCTGCCCAAGTCAGTGATTCTTAAAATATTAGCTGACGCAGTGGTTTCATTTGGACCTATAGCTAAGTTGATCACTGAATATAAATACAAGCCAGATGAAACTGATGTGATCACAGAAGAAACTTCAGCCTTGGCATTTATTTTCGACAAGATTCTTCCGAGTACATCTGATCTTTCAGACACTGATTGTTCTACCATGTGTAGAATGTTGATTGCCGCTTTGGCATCATCCAATCATTCTCCTGATGCACAGATCACACTCGTTTCCGAAGTCAAAGTTGCTTTGACGAGAGCGCTTTACTTGCCAGAATCTGCAGATAAACATCTCCAAGTACAAAATATATGCGGGATCATTTCCACAATGATTGATAATTGTCCCCTACCTCACGCAAACAGATGGACGAGCTGCAGTATCAATAATATCGTCAAACTTATGATAAGAAGAGGCGTGTTTAGTGACTTAGCAAAAATAACTCATTACCTGGATTTGTCTTCTCCCAGCACAGCTTTTACAGCAAACGCATGCTTAAAGCCGCTTGAATCTCTGTCTAGAACCATAAACCAGCCTGCACCAAATAGCACCAATAATAAGACTAGAAAATCTCAGCAATCAACCGATGATAACGCTTTAAATCCAAGCGGCACATCCACAGAAGGAACAAACGCCCATGGTGAAGAAATTGAGGATGCCGAAAATACAGAACATGACATTTCTGCTGTCGCCTCCAGCTTAGAAAACAACACTGTTGGCACTGGGGAACTCGAAAATGCCTTGGACGAGATGATGGAACATATTTTGGAGCGAAGAAATACAGATAACAATCAAGGTTACAACGACGTCCCATCTTCTAGAAATAACACCATGGATATAGATGAGGAACTCACCATTAATTTCGAAAACGAGCGAGACGCAACGGTAAGTAGTTATTAGAATAGAATAGAATATTTATTTAACTATGTTATATACAAAAGTACATTTATAGCAAGTCAGTTAGATTAAAAATACATAAAGATATATTAAAAATATATTAAAATACCTAGAAGGTCATAGTAGCGACAAATGAAGATTGCCACGTTAAGTATATTTATGATCATTCTGATCTAAAAAATGAAAATAGTGATGATATTTATCAGAGCACTTCTGAGAAAACAGAGTCGAGCAAATGGGATCTGAAAGGAGTGTTCAAAGAGGCACTTCAAGATGTTGCATATATTCTTTAAACTCAACCACTGAATAGAAGCAGTGCTGCAAAAAAAACTTTTTATCTTTTTTTGAAAGGAAATTATATTGAGTGACTTGATATCAGATGGTTATATATTATACACATGATAGTCTGGTGAATTTTTTTGAGAGACTGTAAGCCTGTACCTGGGAGTTCTGATATAATCTGATCGTCTTGTATCATATGAATGTACTTGAGATTGTGTCAACAAATTTCTATTTTGTCTATGTATTTCTATAAGAGTCTCATATATGTATAAGGAAGGTAGCGATAAAATTTTGAGGCGAACAAATAAAGGACGACAATGTTCTCTGCTATTACAATTTAAAATTATTCTCAGGGCCTTTTTTTGTAGTCGAAAGATATGCAGTGACTTTGAGGAGTTACCCCACATTATGATACCGTAACTTTATGAGCATGAAAAAGTGCAAAGTAGGTACTTTTCAGTATATCATTATTAACATATCTCTTCAATTGCCGAAGTAAAAATAGCGTACTATAAAGTTTATGTCTAAGTTGTTCAATATGACAATTCCAGCCAAGTCTGTTATCAATAGTTATTCCCAATAATTTAACGTTATTGTCCTCCATGAGCGAATTATTTGTAGAGAATGTGATATTCTGGGTTTTACTATTATTAAGTTGTAGCTTATTAGCCTGAAACCAATATTTGGCTTTTCACCAATATTCAATATTTGGCTATTTCACCTGAGTTGTAGAACTTGAACTAGAGGCATAAAATGAATCTAAATCACTTTTCAAAAAATCAATACAGACAGGCAAAACATATGATATGACCTTGTTCTCAATTTACTTAACGTAGTGTCTTTTTATGTGAGGATATTAAAATTTGAGCCTTTACATAGGATCTCGTTAACGCTGAAAAAAAAAACGGTCAAATTGTTACAAAGTTGCCTATTCTACTACTATTGAATAGTAGTAAAAAGTCAACTCAATCTCTTTTGGTTCCAGAGATCCATGGAATTTTTTTTTATATTAGAATAGAAAATTTATTTCGCACAAGGAACAAATTACAAAATTTGTATAGTACAAGTCGAAAGGAATATTGTACATTTTCATCCCATTACATCGGGAAGTGATTTGTTAAAAACATTAAAAGGATTACGAACAACATATAACATATTGCTAGAGACAGTTATCTCTTGAAAGTGCCCTCATCCACATCTTCCAAACCATATGGTTCAGCTGCAATGAGCATTTGTTTCAGTTTGTGTTTAAATACATTGTGCACTTTAATGTCTTTGGTTTTCAGGGAGTAAGTTGCAAAGTTTTAGACATTTATAAAAACAGCCTTTTTCTAGGAGTGTATATTCTAATTTCTTGTGTGGTGCGAGTGGTCGTTTGCATAAGGTATAAATAGTGATTTATTTTTGAAGACATAGTTCAGACACTCAAACACATATACAGCTGTTAGAGTGAGAAGGTTCAGATTTTTGAAATATCCTCTACAAGATTCATTTACTCTTAGTCTAGCTAGAATTCTAATTGCACTCTTTTGGATTCTAAAGATCTCTTCATTGTGTGTGCCACCCCAGAATATAATTCCGTAGCACATGATTGAGTGAAAATGACCGTATTATGCTATTCGTAGGGTAGTCTGATTGACGACTTTTTGGAGTTCCTTCAGAGAGTAGCAAACTCTACTAAGCTTCCCGCAGAGCAGTTGAATGTATTTCATCCGGCACATGTGTCTATCAATGATGACCCCCAGGAATTCGGTGGAGTCAACAAAAGAGATTTGCGTGTTATCGATTTCGATGTGTGCTGGGAGATCTCGTATATTTCGACTATGCTTAAAAAGTATACAGTTTGTTTTTTCAGTGTTTAGTATTAGTGAGTTTTTTTGGAACAAATCTGATAGTAGGAGTACAGTGTTATTTGTTTTTTGACTCAATTCTTGATAGTTTTTTCCAGCAATTAGAACCATTGTGTCATCGGCATAAATTGTTAATATAACGGATTTATCATGGACTATATATGGTAGATCGTTTACATATAAAATGAACAGGTCCTAATATACTGCCCTGTGGCACTCCCCTTGATATTGAAGCAGTTTCTGAGAGGTGATCTAATGAATTGTCCTTTATGCATACCCTCTGGGTGCGACCTGTGAGGTAGGATCTAAACCAATCCTGTGCAGGGCCACGTATACCAATTTTCTTCAATTTCTGTAGCAGAATGACATGGCACACACAATCAAAAGCCTTTGATAGATCCAAAAAAACACCAAGTGCCATTGAATCATTATCAAGCAATAATAGAATCTTCTCAACAAAACTTAATATTGCTGTGGTTGTCGACTTTCTTTTTTGAAATCCATGTTGGTTGTTCACAATAATCTTATTAACATCTAAGAAAGGTAACTTAACGCTCATAACAATTTCAAATAGTTTGGAGAAACTAGACAGCAGACTGATAGGTCTATAATTATCAATTACTAGAGAATCACCCTTTTTAAATACAGGAATAACAATTGCCGTTTTCAGTCTAGTTGGATATGTTCCGCATTTCAAGGATTCATTCAATATGTATATTATAGGTTTTACAATGTACACACTGATTTTTTTCAGTAGTACATTGCTAACGTTATCATCCTCTGATGAATATTTATTTTTAAGGCCATTTATAATGTCTAATACTTCGATTTCTGTAACTTCTGATAAGTAAATTGAATTTAAAATTTCTGGCACATAAGTCCAGACTACTTGGAGTATTACCAACATTTTTTGCGGCTGCCGTAACGAAAAAGTCATTCATCAGATTACTAGCCTCTTGTGGGGGAGACTATCAGTCTGTCTTCGATTTGTATTCCTTTGAAAGAATTTTCCGAAATGACTTGCCTGCCTTTCTCAGTGTTGATAATACTCCAAATCGTCCTTGACTTGTCAGAAAGTGCAATTTTTTCTCCATAGTATTTTTTCTTTTCTGTCAAAAGCAAGTTTGAATAAAATACTTTGAACTCAGAAAGTACTTTTTGTCAATTCTATTGGGTTGGTATAGTTCTGAGAGATAGTTCAATGTGTTTTTTGCTTCTAAGATAGTTTCAGTTTTCCATTGTGGTTTTATATGAGTGTTTATTTTCGTTTGTTTCATAGGAAATGCCTTGTTAAAATGTGTGCAGAGTGACGTTATAAAATTATTATACATGTTGTCTACTTCCTCATATACCTTTAGCCAGGTTTCTTTTGTAAGTAATTTGTAAAAATCTCAAAGTTTTTTTTGCTGTAGTTTCTTTTAGTTTCTTTTCAATTTATATTTAGGGTTCAAAACTATCTCCTCTTGTATGCACACATACTGTGCATAATGATCAGATATGTTTGTTTTCAACACCTTCGATTCATAAGTTGTATAACTGGATATGTAAATGTTATCTAGACACGCAAAGGAAGTATCAGAGACCCTAGTTGGTTCTTGGATAGATATTTGTATGTTATAGGAGCTCAGTAGATTATTCATAACTTTTCTATGCTTTGGGTTTTCAGCAGAATCCATCATATCAATATTAAAGTCACCAGTTACCAGCACAAGTTTGTCTTCTTCAGTAGCTTTTTCTAGTAGCACATCCATTTTTTCGATGAAATGGGAGAAATTTGCACTTGGGGGTTTGTATATGACACAGACAACATACTGTATATTATTAATTTTGAATTCTGATGCCGTACATTCAAACAGATATTCTTCACTTAACATGTTCAGAACAGTCTTAACCACCGGTTTGTAGTGACGAAGGGCATATAGTGCCACCTCACCGTGAGCTTTGTTGGTTGTTCTACAATAGGAAGATACCAGGTTGTAGTTTTCCAGTTGATAGACATCCATACTATTTGTCGACTGCCAGTGCTCAGTGATTGCTACGAAGGTAGCCCTTGTTTATGATATAACAACACTAAGATTGTTGAGACAGTTGAGACACTGTACATTTTGATGGAATATGCTGATTTTTCCCGTCACTTTGTTTTCGTAACTTTTTTTGTTCCTCCTGTGGCTAGGTTTCCTATAAAAAATCCCCACCTTGTTCATTAAGGAATTCGCGATGCCGCTCAAAGTTGAATCTTTTGACTCCTACATGCTTTGGCCAGAAGTCAGGTCTGTATATTTCCTCTTTTTTTTCCAGAGATGCTGCGACAACAAATCTTTTGAGTTGTTTCTGTTTACCCGGAAGCTCTTTGACTATTATTGAATCCTTTTTGAACCCAGGTTTTTTTGATATATGATATGGTCTTCGTTTGCTGCTCTTTTTACTGTATATACATATAACCACACTCTTCGTTCGCCTCCAGAGAAACCATTTTCACTTTCTACATCTGAAACTTCAGCTGTCCCTAGATTTTTCTTGAGTGTGTTTCTATTTTTTCGGTGTTTCGCCCGTGTATATTCTTCGTGTTTATGTTGATTGTCCAAGGTGTTTATTTCTTCACTTTCGTTTCGTGTTTTGGTTTGTTTTGGTAGCAATTCGGACATGTTTATTTTGTTTGGACATGTTTATATTGTTTGCATATTTATTCAAAGTCTGTTATACTATCCCACAGGAACCTATAAGAATTTGTTTACAGAATTCCCAAGTCGTTTGACCTGGTTATACTGTAATTTTTTGCTACCTGACATTCTTGAGAGTTTACGGTAATTCGATCATCAGATTATTATATTTTCATTATGTTTCATGAACACTCGAATGGAAGCAAACTTATTTCTTGATAATACATTTTCATTTAAATAAATAAAGTAATTCGTATAAAAACATAGGCTTTCACGGCTAGAGTCATGATTGAAGAGAATAAAATATGAGCTGATCGTCCGTGGACGAATGGAACCTGAAGTCTCGGCAACGACTGACCGAGTCAGTTGTTGCTGAGACTTCGAGATATAATTTTCATCCTTGCAGTCAACGAACATACCACTGATAATGTCTGATGCAGTAGCAAACAAAACATTTGGTACTTCCTGTTCCAGTCGAATACAGAGATTGTCAGTAAGTCGATAATTATATAAATTAACACTGGTCTATATTATTGAAAATAGTTACGATTATTGCCAGAAAAAGCTAAATAGGTTAGGTTGGAATCATTACCTCGAGTATTAGTTTTTCCTCGGTTATAATGAAAAATTGGTTGGTTGACTTGCTTGTTCATTTAAGGAGGAACTGATGAGTACAGATTCAGGCGAGTCCGACTCAAATCCTTCTGATCAGGTTGACGATGAAGGTAACGATGATAACGAAGGAGATGATGATAATATAGATGATACTGAGGAAAATGAAGACAACAACTATGATGATGATGATAGCAATGAAAGAGATCGAAGAAGAGGTATGTTTGATTCAGACCTTGACCTGAATAAGAAATAACTTAATGTCTTCATTACTGTTCTAGTTCCTGGTTCAGATTTGCTTGAAGGCAGTTCGGGAATGTTTAGAATTGCTACAAATGACAGAGACGAAGACATACTGATGATTCAGTATGAAGGTGATAATGATAATGCCTTGCCTAGGATGATAAGATGGAATGAAAATGGTTTCTCTGTTCCAATTCTGGATGAAAACAATCCTAATGATCACACAGGTATTTAAGAAGTTTTGCAATTGAAATATTGTTTAAATCATTTTGTTTTAGCTATTACACACCCGCTTTTGATGTCCCGCAATACTGTGGAAACTACTCAATCCACAGCGACTCGTAATCAGAGAACAAACCGTACCAGAAGATACCAGTATCTGCTTAGTCCAAGGAATCCTAATCCTCCAGTTATCCTGCAGAGGTACGTGTAATACAGTTATAATTCAAAAAATCAGTTGAATAATTAATTTCTCGACCTGCTATTTTTTTCAAGTAAGATCTTCACAATTCACATGAAAAAGTTATTCAAATTCATGAATTGACAATTATATCAAAGGCAACTAATTGTCAAATTGATGATTCAACACAAACCCAGCTTTAATGCACCGGAACTGCAACACTTCTCGACATGCATTTTACAGGAGCTGACTGAATCCATAAATCTTAATTTTTCCTATTTATATCTGAAGAGTAAACTTTCATTTTTTCACAAATTGAATGGATCTTGTATAACTCTAACATAATTAGCAAAACCACATTATATTGAATTAACATTTATGGCAAGTCATATACATAATGGATTTTGAGAAAATAGACGAACACATGGAGCACGTTGTTCAAAATCAAATTCAAAAGAATGAGATGCTTGTCAAGAAAAGTGTTGAGGTTTTGGTGTTTGGGAGCCTTTTTTCTGTTGAGTTTAGGATATGTTCCAGGGTTGACTGTAAATGTTGTTTGGTGATCCGAAAGTAATTTGTGAAGCACTACTTGTGAAAAACTGTTATATACGAAGTACAGTGTTTTGTAAATTTGTGAACCTAACATCAAAATACTGACCAACTATTAAGGAGAACTGAATCTAGGCTGGTAGTCCGTACTGGAATGGAATCTGAAGTATCAAATGTTTAATGATGTCTGCTACTGCAGCAGAAATCAGTGGTATGTGCGTTGACTTCGAGGTGTAACCTTCATCCTTGCAGTCAACGCACATATCACTGATGAAGTCTGCCGCAATAGCAGATGAAACGTTTGGTACTTCAAGTTTCATTTGACCATGACCTACTAGCCCGAATTTTGTTCTCTTCAATGGTGTCTCTGGCTGTGAAAGCCTATGTTCTGACTAACCAATGATTTTTTTATGGTGAATTTAGCTGTTGTTCACGATTCAGAAAAAGGACCTGTTTCCGTTTTCAAAACGCCTAAAAAATGGAAATTTTTTTACGCATTTCATACTCACCATTGTTCTTCATGACCTAAATAAGTACTACCAATGAGATCTATGAAAATATTGCTGCTTAATATTGGATTATGATTAGAACAATTTTGGGTTCTTGTGAATGTAATCCTCAGTTTCCAGTGAAAGCTACACTGTACAGGCTTTGATGTACAATCACTGTAGGAAATTACTTGGGACACTCTGAAAATGATGCCTGGGCATTTTACATTGGGTTTAAATCAATACAGATTATCCATGATAATAATTGAAGAATTTTCACAAATAAAGTGTTTATTCTAGAAGAGTTTCACTAACACTGTAGCTTTATCGTTAATAATATTGCTAATACCGATTAATGTATTACTACCGATGAAGCCACTGTGTTAGCTCAACGCATCTAGAATAAACATTTTATTTGGCCTTTAAATAATCTGGAAGGTGATTATATATCTTTGGACCTATGTATTCTGGTCTACATGATATTACTTTGAATCTAGCCTAATGGCAAGTGAAAATGGTTCTTGGTTCTAGTATCATGTTGGTGAAGTTTTAGTTTTGTTGTAAATCTTGATTTATTTTTGAACACATACATACATAGTTGAAAAATATAAACTGATGTTAAAGTTAAAACACCGTACTCATTAAAAAGTGCCTTGCATGATTCTCTATTAGAAAAATTTGCTATGCACCTCAGAATTCGCTTTTGTGCTATAAAAACATTTCCTGCTGTGGTGGAACCACCCCAGAAACAGATACCATACTAAGCCTTGATTCTACTTGAGCATAATATATATTTAGCAGCTGACTCTTTGTTAAAACTGTTCGTTAAATTGATGAAGAGAAACTTCAATGAATTAAGTTTTGATATTGATTGTTGACAGTGGCCTTTCCAATTGAGGAACTCATCTAAAATGATTCCCAAGAATCTTACATTGTGATCAGTATTTGTTAGGGTCACATTGTTCACCATGAAATGTATAATAAACTTCATAAACAAATAATTTTTATTTTAGAAAAACTATTGTTCTCTTGTCGACTTTTCAAAGTTTATTGATTCCATTATCACTCCATCAAAAAAGTTTGACAGTTCCCAACACTGAAACAAAGTGGAAGCGGTCAAGAATAGGATCCATCTACGGATCAAAAACAGGTCCCAGGTTTCACTTAAGAAAATCAAACTTTATTTGTGAAAGTTGAAAGTTAGGCTAGGTTATTTAATAAACTCTCATGTCAGACATGGTAAAAGCCATGGTATTAATGAGCCCGAAATTTTGAGATTTTCTGCATTTGTTGATTTGATTATTGCAAAGATGGGTGGCATAAGAAATGACGTATCTTCTTGCTTAAACTAGACTGTCACTCAGATAAATCATTCCAAATATTCAAGAGTATGTCAAATACAGTTTTTCCTATAATTTTCGATATCACTGATTCTATAGTTCTCTAGAACATTATTTTTGCCTTTTTGGGTATAGGCTGAACTTGGGCTATCTTCCAACAGAATGAAACACCCTTTCTTGTATAGTGAGTTGAAGATCATACAAAACCCTGGTGCTATGTGGGTGGTGTTTCACCCTGAAAATTAACTGAGAAGTTTGATGCAATGTGGGGCTGACTTTTTTCCTATTTTTTTATCCTATTTATCACTTAGGACAGGGGTTGCTTTGCTTTTAATGGAAGCAGTTATAAAATGTAAATTTATTGATATCATCAAATAAACAAAATTAGTTACATGGATCGTCGTATGTATATTGAACATTGTCACAAAATGTAACCAAATGAATCAGGGGCACCAATTGAGGACTTAAGATTGCACATGGTTTTCCCAGTTATTCAGTTGCACAAAGCATAAAAGTGGACATTTAGGCTCTATAACTACAGCTTATATAAATGGTGTAATGAGTTTGTATGAAGGTGGTTGCCAATGTTTCATGGTGAATTTCATTAGTTTGGACTCCCATTGTCTAATATGATATAAAATGATTTAAAATCCCTGAAAAAAACAATACAATTGTAAATTAAAAATGAATACATGAAAATAACAATTTATTGAACAAAAAAACCCTGAAATGAAAATACAGTGAAATAAAATACAAGCAAAAAAAAATTAAAATTGAACATTAACCAAAAAAAAAAACAAAGAAAACAAAAATTAGCCAAGTTATTTCACCACGTTTCCATTGTTGATATCCACAATCGTCTTCAGGTGATGACTTGTACTAATTTCTTCGAGAGATGACATATGTTGCGTATTTTTACGCTAAGCTTAGTGGAATTCGTTACTGGACAACGTATATACGGCTTCCTTGAATTTCCTCCAAAACCAGTGTTCCTGTGCACAAGAAACACACACAGCGAGGAGAAATCAGCAAATCGGGAATAGCGAACCCTGTTTGGACTTATCAACATAACATCAAGTGGTCCCAAGCTGTCATCATCCACAGGAAGGAACACTGGTTTAGGAGGAAATTCAAAGAAGCTGCATACATGCAACAATCGAAACGTTGTGAAGTAACTTGGCTTGAAATCTCTCAATATTTATTTTCTTTGTTTTGTTCAATTGTTCAATTTTTTTGCTTGGTTTTTATTTCACTGTAATTTCATTTCAGCATTTTTTTTATCAATGAATTGTTATTTTCAGCTATTCATATTTTTTAAAGACATTCAATTATATTTTTTTCACAATGTTAACTTATGTTGAATCCTTCAAGTAAGTGCTTGAAATGAACAACAAAAATAGTTGAGGCTTTCGCGGCCGAGGTTTTCAGTATCAAAATTCTTCGGGCCGTGAATTTTTGGAATTTCTTCCTGATGTTTTCGCTGGCGCGAGTGGCTTCTTCAGAGGTTCATACATCTTGAATTAATATCTCCGATGACTGAATATTATGGCTATGTAACACGTAATTATGCTGACTCCTCAGGTATTTTGGTGTGCTGATACCTGTACCTGGCTTAGATAAATTTTATAAAGGGCGTTTCTCTTGATTCAGGTACTCTGGTGTGACTATTCGGATTAGGTAAATTGTCAATAACATCTGGTGACCTTTTTCTACCTGCTGTCATGCTGTTTGCTATTCTTGAACTCCTTAGAATGGTATTTCATATTCGATTGAGGTTCACAACTTACTCTTTTCTGTTGAAATTATCCGTATGTTTGTGGATTTCTATTGACTCCCGTACCAGTCTGCTATGGTATCCCTGGTCGGGGGCAATGTTGGCAGTGGCATGTTGGTCTTGTGTACTTTCGGAAGACCGTAGAGCCTGGGTGGAACGGCTTCAGTTCTGACAATGGTTCTCTGTACGGTTTCTGATAGCGAGGAAGATTTGATGATTTTGTTAACGTTCCTCAACCTTTATTGTTTTGGGTCCCTTTTGATTTTGCGGTAGTTTGCAGGGCCTAGTAGGTCTTCAATTTTGCTGATATATTCTTTCGTGAAGGAAACCACAGGATTATATCATTGCCCTCAACCATGGATACCATAGCTGACTGGCAACAGAAAAAAAAAGCAAAAAATACCTGCCATCAAATTAAATTTTATTTTGTTAAAGGACAATAACCAACAAATAAAAAATCCCACGCGTAATACATTTATTCCTGTCATTCAAGAGATGGAACGGTGCCACCTACTATTCTAAGCATTTTTTTAAAAGGAGTCAATACAATAATAATGCATCTCAGAACAGACAAATTCTAATTACATGTGTAAGTTCAGAACACTATTTTTCGGAAAATGCTAATAAAAAAAATAGTAAGTCAGGGTACCATTGGAAGCAGAATTGAACGTCAATTAAAATGATGTGCCACTTGACCCCTCTCTGAACCACGAGGGCTACATCCCTGAAAGTGTCCCCTTGACAACAAAATTGACCTGTTTTTTGGATTCCTCATATTATTTACTGAAAGAAAGATATTAAAGGTGGGAAGTTTTCAATTTTTTTTAAGGACAAAACAACAGTAAAATCCTTAAGGCGCTCTTAGAGCGGTGCCTGTGTGAAAGTAGTGATTCACATTGGATTTGAATCGCTGGAGATTAAATCCATTTCGAAAAACGTTCTTAGGAAGTTTATTCCACATAAACGCAGTTCTCCAAATGAACGAGTTCTTAAATAGTGAAGTTCGAGATGTACTGACACCTCGACAAATTGACACCCTGTTTGTTAAGGAATTCGCAAAAGATTGTGATTGTGATTATGATTTGAAGCATTTTTCAAGAATGATGACAAGTTACTTCTAGTAAACAAACTTTTTTTATTTGCTAACAGTTCAGTTGTTGAGCAGTGTATTGAATATTATTTTACTAATGTCTATTTGAATCTTTATTGAGATTGACACGTTCCACGTCCTAGGAGTGTAGTGTATTTTTATTTTGTAACTTTCATTATTTACATGCTGATCAACAAATTGTTGTCCTACTTTTGCTAATGCTAATATTTATAAACTAAAAGTATTGACTTGGTTTATTTTGAAGTTCTTTCTCGAATGATGAAAACTATGAAATGAGTTGAGTTCTGATTCATTATTACCAAATGGTTATTTAACCTAGATACAGTCCCAAAAAATATTATTTTTTATTAGTTCACACTTCATTTAGAGTGTGTCACAATGTATATGAATCCGTACTACATCTTCAGGATGTATTAACAAAAAAAGTTGCAAAGCCGCATATAAAATATCCAATTTATTGTGAATATTATGTTGAGATAAGTTGAAGAGGTAGAGATATTCTTGAATATAATATGTGGAAACGTAGGTAGAATTGGAACCTTTGATGTGGAATGAATCTGATTGAAACACTTTTCCCATACCAGAACTGAAGCGTGTATTTCTAACCAGCGTAGTGCCAACCATAAGTAGATGACTAAAACATTTTAGAGATGTATTGATTTTTTGTTATAGTTTGTTGAAAATTTTATTTGAGCTCATGAAAAAATTCAGTAAACTTCTCCATTAAAGTTACAATAACAATCCCCTTACTTGATAATAGTGATTCTTTTCAACAGGGGAGAGGAGAGGGATAATTTAGCGCTCCCTGTACAAATACCAAGTATTTATTTGGGTATATTTTCAAGGCTCCTGGGTCCACATGATCCTCACATTGCGAACATGATGTCTGCAAACAATCTTCTGAGCGGTCCAACGGAGATACGCGAATCTGCCAGAGTAGTCGTGATGGACAATTTTGGTATAATTCCATCCAACGAGGAACAAATCGACTTCGTTGATCAATCCGGTTACCTGTTTGGCCCTAGCTTGGCCGCCACTTTGAACCACGTGCCCCCAGTTTTACACTGGTGGAATATAGAATCTAAATTACTTGATCTGGACTCAGTATTTGATTGCACGACGGCCATTTGCAATAAACTTCTTCCTTCGTTGATAAACTATAGAAACGAGGAGATTCGTACTAAAAAAAACAAAGAAGAAGATGAAAATTCAAAGAAAAGAAAACAACCGACGATTGAAGACGAGAGTGGTGATGATTCAGATCTGTTCAACTATGAAGGAACACACATCAATAATGGAGAGTCAAGCGCTGACCAGAGCAAAGAAGGTGAGTTTTTTGTTGATGATAAATACTATATTGTTAAAAAAGGTTGACTTTTGGTGATAGAACATGACCATTTATATAATGGAATAAAGATGAAAATACTAAAAGTATGTTAAGAACCAACTCCTTATATTTACTAGTATAACTAATAGTGTCTCTTTCAAAAGTTTGGTCATTTCAATGGTAGGTTTCGAATAATTGGTGAATCAATTGATCAATTTAGAACAGGATCACTGGTGCAAAAACAACAATTGCTTATTTTTTTATTATTCATTTATGCTTAATGGAAAAACATTTCAACAGATTCACCTATTTGAAATTTCACAATGAACACGTGTGAAAAAAAAAGACAATTGATAAATAATATGGAATACCAAAAATTTTCAAATATCGATTAAATATTGATAATGATTATCCGCAGAAATACGTCACTAGTGGTTTTTTAAAGAATATAAAGATGAATCAAATAAATCTATAAAAAGCTATTCTTATTTGCATTCTAGTAAGATTCATTTCAGCCACAACTGTCATGGTAAGGAGTTTCAAACAACTTCGGCACTATGGTTCTTTTTGAATTTACTTGAAATCAATCACTTGCGTTACACATGGACAGTGCATATCACCATTTATGACGAAGTCTTGAGCAAATATACCTTCAGCAGTGCTCCAAAGTACATAAATTAAAAAGCAGGATATTAAATATTTTTTTTTCAAGGTTTTTTTGAACTTTGAAAATGAGAAAGAGAAAATATCAACAAATTTTAAACAGATGGAATTTGACTGCGTATTGTATGATATGTTGCACCTATGCACTGGAGAGTTCAAAAAATAGTTTGTTTGAGATTATTCGTAACGGAATGGATGCTGATGCTTAGTTATATACGTAGGAGCATTAAGGTAAATGTTACTAAGGATAGCAGGCGAATCAATTAAATTATTTTTGACTTTAAAGAGGAACTTCACATCTTAAATTTCCTTACTATTCGCTAGTGTTAATATGTTTAATTCATTCCGAACGTAGATACGCTTGACGTAGATACGCTTGTTGAGGTGGAGTGAAAACCTTACCAGGTTGTTGGAATTGCCAGATAAAAAAGGAATATTTCTAAAAATATAGATATTAACGTGTTTATATTCAGGAAATTATTTAATGTTCTGCCATTTTGAAGTAGGTGAAGATATTGACTTCATATTCTAGGGTTGTGAAGTATTCGTCAGGATATTCAAAATGATGTGTCACAAGACCCTCCTTTCCATTTAATTTTTTTCCCAGATGGCGCCCAGTTGATTCTTCACTATTCAGGTTATGAAACAAATTATTTCAATCGATTTTAGATAATTCTGATTTCAATAGTTCATAATCAACTTAACAAAAATTGTACAGGTTATGTTTGTTGTTATTATAGATTAATAAGTATTTATGAATATTTTTTTTCTGATTGATTCGGCCGTTACTTGATGCAGATCCATAGTAATTTTGTGATATTACGGATATTGACAGATGATTCCAAAAAATTATGGTCTGTCTTCTTGAAGCAAGGAAGAGGTGTTCAAGTGCAAATTTTGTATACTGAATGTGTTATTGAGTATCATATCAATTGTGTTGCCAGTAGAATTAGTGAAGTAATTGAATTTCGATAGCTCGTTGAAAGAGACAGTGTCTATCAATGAATTTGAAAATTCATCAAAAAAGTTATGAGGCTTACAGATATTATTGTCACGGTCTAGCAACCATTTTATATTTGGAGAATTGAATCCCCCGCAGATCACAAAATTGTCATTGGAATTTGATAGGATTATGTCACTCCGTTTCTTGCAAAAACATTCGAGATATAAGTATTAACCTGGGGGTATGTAAACATACCCTATGTGCGTTTTGTTGTTGTTGTTTGACGTAATGGTCACCCATAGATCTTCAGCATCCGAGTTCCAGGAATCTTGAGCGTAGCTGTTGAAGATTTTGTTGACGGTTCTGAGAACTCCATCGCCGTTTGAAGTTGTTTTGTGATCCCCCCGCTAAACGTTGAAAGAATCACAAATTATTTCTGAACTGAATATAGAGTTATTCAACCATGTTTCGGTCAAACATCTCAAACTTTGATCCTAAGTAAGGGAGTTTTTGTTAATATGATTTGTTTTTTATCTTAGACCACGAACATTGTGATAAAATATTCATAATTCCATCGAAAAACAAGGATGCGTATATCTTTAGTTGTAGAGGGAATGACAATTCAGGTAATTTTTTGGACGTCACTTTCCGTAATCATCCTTAAAACTTTCGACCGGTTATTTTTTCGAACACGACCCTACCGTTTCGCACCCAAACGTATTTATAGTTGTTGGGTTTGGACATGCCTTTAGCTTTTTTTTAAGAGAAGTTTGGTGTTTGTTGCCAGATATTCATTTATAAAGAGGCATCTTGATGTGTTATTGACGAGACTCAGTTGACTCTTGTCAAGGTAGCTCAGTCTCTTTATTTTGGCCGCTTATAAGATTTAATCCCGCTTTACCTTCGATTGGAATCTAACGATGATGTATTTGGGTTTCTCACATTGGGTAGAATGAGCTACCCTATAGGCTGAGTTGACTTCGAAGGGAGAAATCGCACACTGGATGTGTTGTCCAATATGATCCGGTACTTGGAGGAATTTTTCATTTGTTTTCTCAGGCACACCTTGTATTTCAATATTATTAAGAAGTACTTGTTCTATATTTACGATCCTGGTTGTCAATTGTCCAACCATCACCTTCAAATCTGCATTCTTCTTCGACAACTTCTCTATAATAGTCATTCTCTTTGAATCACTCAACATTTTTTCAAATGTAGTTTTCTAGTTACTACAAAAATTGATTGATTCTAAAATGTTATCGTCTTAATATTAAACGTCTACATCTCTGATTGAATTTGTTTAAGAATGTTCATTGAACTGATAGAACTTTCATCTTCTGGTTCATTTTCGGTAGCTAATAGAGAAACTCGTTACTGGCTAACGTACTTGCAGTCAGCACAATTTCAGATAGGGCCAGGCATAATGAATTGTCCAACGTCCTGCTTAGTCAGACTGACACATTTTCCGTGGAAATACTTCTTGCAAGAATCACTGCACGGCAAACCTGGGGTCTTGCTGGTTTTCGCTTAGTAGTCTGCAGAGTAGCAAAAAACTTCAACCTTTTTGCTCCTCAATGAGTATATTGTTTTTTACTGTTGTATTGGGTATTATTAAATTGCACTGTGTAAATCAACAAATTCACTTTATACACTGAGATATGTGAGACTGATGACTAATGTACTACGGAATTTAATTACTGATGAATAAACTTTGAATCACGAGAAAACACGGACTTTTTACACGAGGATTTACCTAGAGAATGCAAGAAAAACCTAATGGAGTTCCATTAAATACATCAGATGGTCCAGCAGAACAAAATTCCAGAGAAGGTTAGTGATAGTATTTATTTGAAATATATGCTTCTCATTTCACAGTTGAGTATTCTAAATCTTCCCAGGTATTTGCTTTGAGTACTTGTTTTCTTTTAGAAGGTGAGGAAGACATAGACGGAGTGCCTATAGAGACATCTGATACTTCCAATGACAGATCAGATGAAACTGCTCAGATTGAAGAACATATGTATGTTCCATTCCTCAGTATTGTGGGAGTTGAGAGGGAATCCACTCCAATTTTGGAAACTACACATAATGCCTCTGTCCAAACCGGAGATGAGACAGAAAATATATCTAGGAGCGTAGACGATTCTAACAGCCGAAACGAATCAGATGCAAGACCAGCAGAAAGTGATTTCTCAAGTGCTTTTGCATTGTCTCTTCCACCGCCTGATATGCCCGTTAACCGACCAATATTTGATAGAGAGCTCAGTATTTCAACTGTGGCATCGTCCGACAGGAATGAGGAAGATAATGAAATCAACGAATCTCAAAGAAATAATGACCTCCTTGACTTCCCCCAATATACCAATAATCCTCTGAGAGCGATATTCGAAGAAGCTATTGGGCATTCTCTCGGGGATGGAATGGAACAAAGTGATAATAACTCTGGTGAAGCTGGACCAGAATCCAGTCAAGGAGCACCTGCCGAAAATGACAGCAATGATGCACCAGCAGCTGCAGGTAAATACGTTCAGCTACTGTAGTTTAAAATATTGGAAAAGGGGAATGTGAAACTCAAAGAAAAAAAATTATTGTTGAAAACTGTTTAAGGAGAAATGTGGATCATTCACAGATATTTCTAGGTTCAAAGCAGAGGAAGAATTCCATCTGCATATATGTTTTTAATATTTTGAAAAGTAATAGGTTGGTCTGAAGCCCTCTTATATTCAGATACATTTTGGACTGGTAAATAAAATTTGTCATTATTCTATAATTCTATTAGATAACACTTGAACTTTATGAGACTAGTCAGAACCCAAGTTATTGATTTAGAGAATCCTATTGATACAACAAATGACATGAAGTCTACATCATAACTTGTTCGTATCTGACTCTTGAAATCAAACGACCAGATATTTTACTGATTTGAACAGCTTTTTGGTAGTAGAACCTTAAATCGAGTATACTGAAAATTACTTGTGATTTTCTACACCTAAACTTGATATGCTTTCTTCCGCCAAACATTGGACCAGATACCTAATCTGTGAAAATTATCATCAGTTGTTTTCATCTCCTGTTGACGACAAAACGATGAATACAATGTGTGTCGAAAGGAAACATTTCACAGTCTTGAAGTTGGGGAAGTTGAGAAAATTGGGAGAATGGTTCATCTTGAAAATATAACCTATATATTCATTATTCTCCCAATTAGATTTTTCATATTCTTTTCTTATTGTGTAAATTTCTGTAAAAACTTGTTAATTCAACATGTTAATTCAAACCTGAAATCTACTGCTGAAATTTTGAATATTTTGCATCAATACTTCTATTGACAAGTAGTTCCACAATTTTGTCTTGTCATATTTATAAAATAATTTTTTCAGTATCAGATTGAATTTTTTCAAATTAACAACCCTACAAAAGATATAGTAGTGTGTTTCTATAAAAACTTTGCACATTGAATCAAAATATATTGAAGTCACTGATGTAGTATTCTGTAAACTGTGATAGTGATAATATTTCATAATTTTTTTTTTGAGAGTGGTACACAGAACTTTTATTTTATTTTTGTGTTATGATGATAATAGGATATTTGACTTGTTTTTGAACATTACTGTATAATCAGAATTAAGAGGCTCTTATAAAATTAATAATTCTCTATATAGGTGCAGCAGGTCCAAGTACATCCAACGATGACGAAATACCGGAAGGTGTGGACCCATCCTTCTTGGAGGCACTTCCTCCCGAAATGCGTAGGGAGGTCCTTGAGCAGCATCGAATTTTATGCTTGCAGCAACGCATTGCTGCTGGCACTGCTACCGCTCCAGCTGCAGCTGCCACGGGACAACCAGAGCAACCAGCAGCCTCCAATGAAGTGAGTCCTGAATTCTTGGCTGCCTTGCCTCCGGCTCTCCAAGAAGAAGTGCTGACTCAACAGCGATTAGAGCAACAACGTCAAGCCGCAGCAAGGGCTAATCCTAACGAACCTCTTGATGCAGGAGCTTTCTTTGAAACATTGCAACCGTCCTTGAGAACAATGGTATGTGTTTGGTTTACCCCACGAAGTAAATTGATTTCAAACATTTCATTTTAGATATTATCTGATATGGAAGACTCGCAGATGTCTGCTTTGCCGCCTGACTTGGCTGCAGAAGCTCAGACCCTACGTAGGGATTGGTATGCTAGGAATCGGCAGATGGCTCAGGAAAGGTTTCTGCAGAGCAACTTAACTACTATATACAGACATTCAAGAGGCAGACACCCCTTTAGACCCACAAACTTTCAAAGAGGAAGCTGGAGTCAGTGGAGTAGAGACTTTATGAACAATCCAGTTCCCTCGAATTCACCAATGAAAATAAGAGGTCGCCAGCTGTTGGATCATGATGGACTGGCATGTTTACTAATTTTGTTGTTTACGGATGATCCTCATTTGAACCGGCTGAGGTTGCATAGAGTTATAAGGAACTTGTGCTACCATGCGCCAACTCGAGAGTGGGTGATCAATGCTTTACTAACCATTATTGAGAAAAGCGTTCACACACAGCCTGAGGACAACATCAACAAACCTTCAAGAAAAGGGCCGAAGCCTGGTCCTTTGACCAGTAAGCTTCTCACCGATGCTAAATATCTACAGAGTGGTGGACATTGGCTTACCATTCGCATGGAAGCTGCGCTGGGCTGTGCAGCAAATGTGTTCATCGTGAACAAGACAGTTGGCAAAAAATGTGATAAAGCATGCGGAGCCTCAGTAATCAGTATACACCCTCAAGCTGCTCCGATTGTCTGCAGAAATACTCTGGACCTGTTCATTTCTCTAGCAAAGGCTTTCCCGTCCTGTTTACTGCCTATAAAGTGCATTAGGGATGACACTGATAAAAATACCATAACTCCTGTGAAAGTTAAGACAGAATCTTCAGACTTTTGGGATGTGCTTCTTCGTCTCGACTCTGCTACAAAGAAGGGTAAGAGTATACCAAAGAATAACACCTCAAGCAGTAGTGACGCTGAAACACCAATTCTCTTTGAACAAACTGTTTTCGGCAAACTGCTCAACATGTTGGCCACACCTGTTATCAACAGGAACACCAACTTGACGGATAATTTGTTGAAGCTGCTTTCCGTCACGACTTCCGGTATGCCTGAGTTGGTTAAACCTCAAAAGTCTAGCAAGAAGGGCCAAATTCCTGATCTCATGAATACTCCCCCTATACACGCCCTCAGCTTGGCTGTCAATGTAATTACATACAAGAATTGTTCTGAAGAAGGCTTGGAATTCATTACTAATTTGCTACTAAATTTGGCAAATTCATCCTTAGATATGAGTTTTATGGTAAGTTCATTGATTTGTATACCTCATTTCTATAGATAAAAAAAAATCAACAACAAAAAGTGTAAACATGTTGAAATTTGTGAACTAGTCACAAAGATGAGAAATTATATGTAATCAAAATTTACAAATTAAAAAATCAGTTTATACATGAATAAAATATTAATACAAACGAAAAAGATTAACAAATTCGAAAATTGTTGAAGAAAATAAGTAGAACACATTATTTTTCTAATTCAGTAATTTAACTTGCATTTCAGTTAGCTTGCATTACAGTTCATTCCTACGAGCTGAGTCTAAATCAGGATGAATAATGATATGTTGGTTATAGCATTTAGTATACATGAAAATTTGACAAATGCTTAATTATGAGTAAAGCTGTATTTATGAATTATCTGTACATGATTGAAAATAAAACAGTATGTTGATTTTTTCATTCATAAACGATAAATACTACTTCAATTATATTGACAATTGCAAAAATTAATCCACTTCATACGTAAAATACCTTAGAATCATTCAAGTTAATGTTGAAATTGAATTATGTATATTTCAAGTAGTGGTGCTGAATTTGAGATGGAAGGTCAGACTGTGTTGGTAGCTTCTCCAAGCAACAAGCTTATTTTATCCAACGAAGTATGATATGGGCAAAATTTTTATATTTACAACTCATGAAAATTCGTATCACACACTAGAATTTTGTGATTGAGGCTTTTTGAAAAAACAAGTTTTCGAAAAAAAACACATTTAAAGTTTCGCAGTGTATTACTACTATATAAACGCCTTCAGTGGAGTGTAAGGTCTTGATATCATTGGTCTGGGTTTTCTATCTTATCACCACAAATGTTTTCTTCCGAATTCGTAATTTTCGTGAGATTTCATCGTGAATTATTAATATTCATAAATTCTATTCGATTAAAATGAACGTGAGTGATAATTTTAATTAGAATCAAAAGGTTTTTGATAAAGAGTTCGAAGTGATAAATGGGATATACGATGTAATGAAGATGAGTCTTCTGCAAGTTCTGGTTTAATTACATCAGAAAATTGTAAAAAGGAGATGCTGAGTTTGAGGAGAATTTGAATGATACACAACTGAATAGTTCTCACATCAGCATCGTAAACTTGAAAAATCTGTCGTACCTGTATTTTTTTTCAGCGAGTGATTCTGAACATACAACCACCAAATAGAGGTGTAAAAAAATGTATTCCGCGTGAAAGAGCATGCTTTTAAGTGTCCCAAACCATTGTTAAGTCAAAACTCATTTTGTGACACACTATGTACCTTTTTTCGGCATACATCACATATCGTGGTTTCTAAATGAAGTACATTCATTCATTGATATGGGTAAAACAAAACATTTTTATCATCAGGGGGTGGAAGATTGGAAATCAAAACCTCTAATGCAATTTTAACGAATTCTTTCATTTCTGAAGCAGAATCTCAAATAAAGTACAATAAGAACCAGATACATACTTCGGACCAAGATGGTCCAAAGAAATCCATTGCGAATGCAGTGGGGTAAAATTAGTTATAGAGGACAGAAAGATTTGTATACTTAGTATTTATAGATCTCCAAACGGTAACTTTGATACGTTTTTGAATAAATTATTTTGCATATTAGAGAACAGTGTAGGCTATGCTGATGATATCTTTGTTTGTGGCGACTTGAATGTCAATTACCTAGAAAATACTACTGAAAAGATCAAATTAGATGAACTACTACTCAATTTCAATTTACAAGTGACATCTTTGACTCCTACTAGAGTTTTTACCAACCAGTCAGGGAAAACTTCATCTACTAAAGTCGATTACATACTAACAAACGTTGAGAACATGTTTTGCAAATCTAATGTTTATGAAGGTAGTTTCAGTGATCACAAAGTATTCACAGTTACTTATAATATGCCATTAGAAAAATCTAAACTTATTGAACAATCTTATGTTATTTATAGAGATGTAT